TATCGGTTCAGACCCGATTTGTGACCCAGTATGTGGTCTATTCTGGAAAAAGTTCCATGTGCACTTGAGAAGAATGTGTATTCAGTTGAGTTTGGATGTAAAGTTCTGTAGATATCTGTGAAATCTATCTGGTCCAGTGTATCATTTAAAGCTCTCGTTTCTTTGGAGATGTTGTGTTTAGAAGACCTATCAAGGGTAGAGAGAGCTAGATTGAAGTCACCAAGTATAAGTGTATTATTATCTAAGTATTTCTTTACTTTGGTTAATAATTCGTTTAAGTATTTGACAGCTCCCGCATTCGGGGCATATATATTGAGGATTGTTAAGTCCTCTTGTTGGATAGATCCTTTAAGTATGATATAGTGTCCCTCTTCGTCTCTCACTACTGTCTTCGGAGTGAATTTTAGTTTATCTGATATAAGGATGGCTACCCCTGCTTTCTTTTGAGAACCATTTGAATGGTAAATGGTTCTCCAACCTTTTATTTTCAGGTTGTAGGTGTCCTTCTGTCTAAAATGAGTCTCTTGTAGACAGCAAATAGATGGGTCCTGTTTTTTTATCCAGTCTGAAACTCTGCGCCTTTTGATGGGGTCATTAAGCCCATTCACGTTCAGAGTTACTATTGACAGATATGGGTTTAGTGTCATCATGATATCTATTTAGTCCTTGTTTTTGTGGATTGTTCCACTGAACTTCTTCTTAAAGGGGAGTTTTAAGAGTCCCCCTTAAAATTTCTTGCAGAGCTGGTTTGGAGGTCACATATTCTTTCAGTTCCTGCCTGTCTTGGAAGCTCTTTATCTCTCCTTCCATTTTGAATGAGAGCCTTGCTGGATAGAGTATTCTTGGTTGCATGTTCTTCTCATTTAGGACCCTGAATATATCCTGCCAGCCCTTTCTGGCCTGCCAGGTCTCTGTGGAGAGGTCTGCTGTTACCCTAATATTCCTCCCCATGAAAGTCAGGGACTTCTTGTCTCTTGCTGCTTTAAGGATCTTCTCTTTATCTTTGGAATTTGCAAGCTTCACTATTAGATGTCGAGGTGTTGAACGGTTTTTATTGATTTTAGGGGGGGATCTCTCTATTTCCTGGATCTGAATGCCTGTTTCCCTTCCCAGATTGGGAAAGTTTTCAGCTAGGATTTGTTCAAATACATATTCTGGCCCTCTGGCCCTTTCGGCGCCCTCGGGAACCCCAATTAAACGTAGGTTTTTCTTCCTCAGACTGTCATTTATTTCCCTTAATCTGTCTTCATGGTCCCTTAATTGATTGTCTCTTTTTTCCTCAGTTTCCCTCTTTGCCATTTACTTGTCTTCTATGTCACTCACTCGTTCTTCCACCTCGTTAACCCTCGTCGTTAGGACTTCTAGTTTGGATTGCATCTCATTCAATTGATTTTTAATTTCTGCCTGATTGGATCTAAATTCTGCAGTCATGAAGTCTCGTGAGTCTTTAATGCTTTTTTCTAGAGTCACCAGTAGCTGTAGAATAGTGCTTCTGAATTGGCTTTCTGACATTGAATTGTAATCCAGATTTTGTAACTCTGTGGGAGAGAGGGCTGTTTCTGATTCTTTCTTTTGAGGTGAAGTTTTCCTTCTAGTCATTTTGCTCAGTGCAGAGTGGCCAAAAACAAGTTGTATCGGAACACGGGGGAGTATCACTGGTCCGTCCAGGTGGTCTTCTGGGGGAGGGGCCTGCTGTGCTGATTTTCAGGTGTTAGCACTTGGGGGAGCTGCTCTGCCCCTGCCTGCTGCCGGGCTCAGCGGGGGTTGTTTACCCCGTGGGGCCCCAGGAGGAACAGCAGCAGTTGCTATGGCAACTCTGGAAGCCTGAATTCAGCCTCCGCAAGAACTACGGGGCCTCGGGGCTCTCGGTTCTCCGTCCGCAGGGCCTGGAGGCTCCGGGGCGGGGCCGCTGATCTGCTCAGCTCGGGGCAGGAGCGTCCTTGCTGTCCTGGGCCCTCCCGGCCTCTGCCTGTCCCGGGGGAGGCCGGATCCTGGGCTGTGTCCCGGCGCCCTGTGTTCCGGGGCCTGCGCTTTTGGATTCGCGCTCCCGCCCCGCAGCCCCCTCCGCGGAGCCGCCGCCCGAGCCCCTCTGAGCTGCTCCGGTCGGTCCTGCCGTGCGCGCTGCAGCCCTTAGGGAGCTCGGAGCACTCCCCTGCGCTCGCAGGTGTCTGTTAGTGTCCCCGGGAGCCCGAGGGCATCCCCGCCCTCCTGGGTCCTGCTCCAACTCCCTGCGAGCCCCTTTCCGCCCGCCCGGGAAGGTTGGTGCAGCTCCTGCTCCTCCGGGACGGGGCTCTCCTGTCCTGGGGACACTCGCCCCGGCCTCAGCCCGGCTCCTCGCGTGGCCCCTCCCCCTCGGAGGCCTTTTGTTTCTTTATTTCTTTTTCCCCGTCTTCCTACCTGATAGAAGCGCGAACTCTTCTCACTGTAGCATTCCAGCTGGTCTCTCTTTACATCTCAGGCCGAATTCGTAGATTTTCAGGATGGTTTGAAGGTTATCTAGGTAATTTGGTGGGGACAGGTGACTCGGGGACCCTGCTCTTCCGCCATCTTGCCCCTCCCCTCTCCCTCTCCTCATTGCGGTTTTGAATTGGATTTCCCTGATGGCAAGTGATGCAGAGCATTTTCTCATGTGCATGTTGGCCATGTCTATGTCTTCCTCTGTGAGATTTCTCTTCATGTCTTTTGCCCATTTCATGATTGGATTGTTTGTTTCTTTGGTGTTGAGTTTAAGAAGTTCTTTATAGATCTTGGAAACTAGCCCTTTATCTGATACGTCATTTGCAAATATCTTCTCCCATTCTGTAGGTTGTCTTTTAGTTTTGTTGACTGTATCCTTTGCTCTGCAAAACCTTCTTATCTTGATGAAGTCCCAGTAGTTCATTTTTGCTTTTGTTTCTTTTGCATTCGTGGATGAATCTTGCAAGAAGTTACTGTGGCTGAGTTCAAAAAGGGTGTTTCCTGTGTCCTCCTCTTGGATTTTGAGGGACTCTTATCTGACATTTAGATCTTTCATCCATTTTGAGTTTATCTTTGTGTATGGTGCAAGAGAGTGGTCTAGTTTCATTCTTCTGCATGTGGATGTCCAATTTTCCCAGCACCACTCATTGAAGAGACTGTCTTTCTTCCAGTGGATAGTCTTTCTTTCTTTGTCGAGTATTAGTTGACCATAGAGTTGAGGGTCCACTTCTGGATTCTCTATTCTGTTCCATTGATCTATGTGTCTGTTTTTGTGCCAGGACCACACTGTCTTGATGACCACAACTTTTGTAGTACAACCTGAAATCTGGCATTGTGATGCCCCCAGATATGGTTTTCTTTTTTAAAATTCTCCTGGCTATTCAGGGTCTTTTCTGATTCCACACAAATCTTAAAATAATTTGTTCTAACTCTCTGAAGAAAGTCCATGTTATTTTGATAGGGATTGCATTAAACGTGTACATTGCCCTTGGTAATATTGACATTCTCTCAATATTAATTCGGCCAATCCATGAACATGGAATATTTTTCCATCTCCTTATGTCTTCCTCAATTTCTTTCAGAAGCGTTTTATAGTTTTTATTTTTTATTTTTATTTTTTATTATTTTTATTTTTTTCATTGAAATTTATTTTTTATAAATTAATTTTTATTGGTGTTCAATTTACCAACATACAGAATAACACCCAGTGCTCATCCCGTCAAGTGCCCCCCTCAGTGCCCATCACCCATTCACCCCCACCCCCCGCCCTCCTCCCCTTCCACCACCCCTAGTTCGTTTCCCAGAGTTAGGAGTCTGATGCAGAACTACGATGCTCTAGCGAGTTGTGACGTTAATGTGAATGACCTGGACCCAATGCCTCGTTATGATGCAAGCAACGAGAACAAATTCTGGAAAGTGGCCCAGGTCTGGGGCCTCACACAAAGCTGGGATACAGCAGGAAAAAGCTTCTCTCTCTGCCCAGAAGCCAATGTGTGGGAAGGCCAATGGAAGGCTCAAGCAGGGGACCGCTGGGATACCGAAGAGTAAAGAAGCAGTATTTATTCTCTGCCCCCTCCTTACTGGACCACAGGGGAGTAGCTGTGTACCTGAAGATCATACTTCCTGTCAGATGTCCTAAGGCTGACCTCCTGAGGGCTATCCTTTGTGGGCATCAGTAAACCACTTTTCCCCCAAGGTTCCTTAGATCTAGGTATTTTCCAGTGTTTGTGATTTAGAACACCATGCTATTCCCTATTGGTTTCCCCAAATCCTGCCCCCATATTTATTTAAGTCTCTTGAAATAATTTTTCTCATGTTACCCACTGGAAAAAAAATGCTCAACCACTGAGGCACCCAGGTGCCTTGCTGATTCAGTCTTTTTTTTGTTACTTTTTATTATACACCAAGTAGTTTATATTGTAGTTCTTTACAGAGAAAATGCTAAGAAAATTATAGCCACATTATATGGTTTTAAAATCATAATTCCAGATTTCTTTACATGTAAGTTGGGATGGTCCAGCAGCTATGTCCACTGTCAGACTTTAGTTCCATTCAATGATATGGCACATCCTGCAAAATTAACTAGTCACACACAAAAAATGTCTCAAGTACAGTAAAAATGTACACACAATAAAGGTAATTTACACTGACAATTAAGGAATGTACTTTATCTTGGTTGTGCTTCAGAAATTTAGGGTCAAAAGCCTTAGTCAAGGCACAAAGCAGGAAGAGGTGAGCACAGCTGTCTCTGGGAGAGGGCAAGGTATGTACAGTCACTGACGAGGTATGCATGCACACAAAGGATTTAGAACTGCTCAGTCTTGCTACAAAAATTGAACCAAGTTAAAAGGAAATGCTGTGGCTTCCCCCTACTATTCACCTCTGGATCAAGTTCACAACCTTACTCCATCATACAGAAAATAAAATTGGCAACGGTCTCCAAAAGTAAATCACTCTTTGGGTAAATGAAACAAAATGCTTCAGTTCCCAAATCTCGGTTGTGCCTCCTGGACTAGAAGCATTTTGTAGACAAAGGAGTGTTTCATAAAAGTGAAATGCCATTCAGGTGAAGGGACAAGACATTTTCCACAGACACTTAAAATTTCAAACTCTCAAATGGCCCTTACAGCTGAACCATTGTATGTTACAGCAGTGTGGGTTCTGAGAATCCTTTAGCAGCAAATGCTGATTTAAAGGGCACGGGGTCTCTTCGGGTTGATTTGCTTGCTGGCCTGTTCTTCTTGTGGAGCTGCTCGAAAAGATTTCACTTTATCCCGCAGCTCAGTTAAAATGTCTATTTTTTGCTCAAGAATAGCTTCAAGTTGGGTGGCATATGAATCTACATCATAGTCTACTTCTTCAGTCATCTCTAGGAGAGCCTTTTCATCTTCTAACCATCGAATAGATTCCTGGAACACTGCCCTGTGGTCTTCTACAACTTGTTCTTCCATTTCTACCATTTGTGAGACCACTTCGTGGAAAGTAAACAACTGGGGAGAAACTTCTTCATTTTGTTCACAAAGAAGTTTTAGATCATCTCTCTGAGGGGAACTCCCCACACCCCACTGTGCATCTAAGTCATCAATCTGGTTTGATGGATGGTGCATAATTGGACGGACATCACCAGCAGCATTTGGATCCACAGTCAATTCTTTCACCCTATTTGCATATCTTAATGTATTAAGAGTATTTTCACAGGATGCCATTCCTGGAGAGATTGTGGCAGATTGGATTCTGACTTAGTGAGTTTGGAGTGGGGCCAGAGATTCTGTGTTCCTCACAGGCTGTTGGTGCTGCCGGTTTGAGCCATACCTGGAGTAACAAGGTAGTAGGGAATGATATGCTGCCAACTGTCATCCCGTTACAAATGAGGAAACTGAGTCACAGACCTGTTAGGTCATCACGATAGGATTATGTCTGATTCTAACAGCAGTGTTCTCAGCCATTATGTTGTGCTGCATGCTTGGAGAATCCCAAGGTCCTGGGGAGGAAGGAGGTGGCCATCAGCAAGCAGATGCTGGAGGTGCTCCACCCAATCCCCTCTAGCTTACTGCTTTGCTGCACACCAGCCAACTTTTCCAACTGCCACTACTATATCTTTCTGCCTGAGGGCTCTCGCTTGCCACTGGCACTTGCTCTGGCACCCACAGCAGGTCTGGAGGATTACCACGTCCGATAACTCTGAGGTGCATGCTCCACACTGGCTCACAGAGTTCCCCAGCAGGAGTGAACTATGGCTGCCTGCAATGGTCACTTGCTTGATAACTAGCCCCCCTTCCCTGTCTTGCTCATGCCCCTAACATGGGACCACTTCCCAAATAAACCACTTGTACTGAAAAAAAAAATCTCTGCAGTCATGATGTCTCTTGAGTCCTTTATGCTTTTTTCTAGAGCCACCAGTAGCTGCATAATAGGGCTTCTGAATTGACTTTCTGACTTTGAATATTAATCCAGATTTTGTAACTCTGTGGGAGAGAGGACTGTTTCTTTCTTTTGAGGTGAGGTTTTTCCTTCTAGTCATTTTGCTCAGTGCAGAGTGGCCAGAAAGAAGTTGTATTGGGAAAAGGAGAAAAAGAGAGAGAAAGAAGTTTGAAAGAAGAGAGGAAAAGAAGAGAAAAAAAGAAAAACAGAAGAAAAAGACAAAGAAAAAGAAAGGAAAAAAGGGTGGGGGAAGCAAACAGAAATCGAAAAGAAAAGAAAAGAAAAGAAAAGAAAAAAGAAAAGAAAAGAAAACACCACGGGGGAGTGTCTTCTGATTCTGTATACTTTAAGTCCCTTGACTTCCCCTGTAACATGTCCCTCTAGGTGGTCTTCTGGGGGAGGGGCCTGTTGTGCTGATTTTCAGGTGTTAGCATTTGGGGGAGCTGCTCTCCCTTCTGCCTGGTGCAGGGCTCAGTGGGGGTTATTTAACCCCTGAGGCCCCAGGAAGAACAACCCCAGTGGCGGTGGCAGCTCTGGAGCCCTGGATTCAGCTCCCAGAGTAACTCAGGAGCTCTCTGTGTGCAGGGCCTGGAGGCTACGGGGCAGGGCCGCTGATCTGCTCAGCTGAGGGCAGGAGCGTCCTTGCTGTCCTAGGCCCTCGCAGCCTCTGCCTGTCCCGCGGGGAGGCCGGATCCTGGACTGTGTCCCGGCGCCCTGTGCTCCAGGGCCTGTGCTGTTTATTCCTGCTCACAGCCGCACAGCCGCCTCTGCTGAGCCACCGCCGGAGCCCCTCTGAGCTGCTCCTGGAGCGGAGCAGCCCCCTCCACAGGGAGCCTCTTCCTCTGGTGGAGCCGCATCTGAGCTGCTCCTGGCCGCGCAGACCCCTCCACGCTGAGCCGCTGCCCGAGACCTGCACTCTTCCAGGCACGCAGGTGTCTGTTAGTGTCGCAGGAAGCCCAAGGGCATCCCCGCCCTCCTGGAATCCTGCTCTAACTCCCTGCTGGTGCCTTTCCACCCTGGAAGATTGGTGAAGCTCCTGCTTCTCTGGGCCAGAACTTTCCTGTCCTGGGGGCACTCGCCCCGGCCTTAGCCCAGCACCTCGTGGGGCCCCTCACCCTTGGATGCCTTTTGTTTCTTTATTTCTTTTTTCCAGCCATCCTACCTTGATAGAAGCACGAACTCTTCTCACTGTAGCATTCCAGCTGGTCTCTCTTTAAATCTCAGGTGGAATTCGTAGATTTTCAGAATGATTTGAAGCTTATCTAGGTAATTTGGTGGGGACAGGTGATTTGGGGACCCTACTCTTCTGCCATCTTGCCCCTCCTTCCACTTTCCTATTTCAAACCTTGTCACAGAGACACAGGATAAAGCAGTGTGGTTCTCAGGCTCAGGATGGCTCCGTTGGTTAAGCATCCGACTTCTGACCTCACCCCGGTCTTGATCTCGGGGTTATGAGTTCTAGCCCTGTGCTGGGCTGTGGACGAGTCATGGAGCCTACTTAAACAAACCAAACCCACAGGGGTGTGGTTCTGGCATAAGCTGAAGGAGCAGAAGAGAGAGCCTGGAAGAAAATGCACTCTGATACAGTCAACTGATTTTTTAAACTTAATTTAATTTAAACCCAATTAATTAACAGTATAGTGTAGTATACTTTCAGAGGTAGAATTCAGGGATTCACCAGTTGGAGATAACACAAGGGCTCATGACATCACGTGCCCTCCTTCATGCCTGTCTACCAGCTACCCTGTCCCTCCACTCCACTCCCCTCCCCTCCAGCGACCCTCAGTTTGTTTCCTGTGATTGAGCCCCTTTTTCCTCCATGTCTATTTTCATCTTATTTGCTTTACCTTCCCTTCACAGATGCCCATCTGCTTTGCTTCTTTAATTTCACCTATGAATAAAAACATACGGTAATTTTCTTTCCTGACTGACTTATTTCACTTAACATGATCCCTCGTGTTCTATCCACGTCATTGCAAATGGCAAGATTTCCTTCTCTTTGATAGCTGAGTACCATTCCTATCATCTATCTATCACCTATGACCATCATCTATCTCCCATCCTCTTTATCCATCATGTGTCTGAGGGCACCGAGGCTCCTCCCACAGTGTGGCTACTGTGGACCCTGCTGCTGTGGACATTGGGGTGCAAGTGTCCCGAGTCTCACTGCATCTGTATCTTCCAAGTGAGCTCCAGGCTGTTCACCTGCTCGCAGGGCTGCTCTATGTGTAACTTCCTGAGGAGCCTCCACACTGTTTCCAGGGTGGTTGCACCAGCCCGCGGTCACACCCAAAGTGGAAGAGGGTTGAGTGAGTTTTGCAGGATGTGGTAAAAGTCTGGTCCACATTTCATTTTGCATCCTGTGGGCTCCATTCATTGTCCTTAAATATTTCTGGGGAAGCTGGGTGTTGGGCTCCTTTTCAGTGAGACGTTTCCGAAGCTCACAGGCCTCAGCTGGAGCCTGGAAGGAGGCAGGTGCGGCCCCGTGCGTAGGGACGCCACCTCCTGCACGGCCTCCTGCAGTGCCTGAGCGTCTGGCAGGGGGCGCCCGAGCCCAGGCCCCGCCCAGGGGGCGCACATGCGCAGTATGCCTCGACTGCCTGCACTAACAGGAGCCCCCCTGTGCTGGGGAGGCCTGAGGAGCATGTGGGGCCGTGTCCAAGCTGATGAGCCCCAGCCTCCTCACGACCCGCGGTGAGGCTTCAGGGAGACATTGGGCCGTGTTCACGCTGACAGGAGCCCTGGTCTCCTCAGGACCTGCGGGGAGGCTTCAGGAAGATGTGGGCCCACCCACATCCACGCTGACAGGAGCCCCTGGGCCACCTCAGGACCCGCGGGAAGGCTTCAGGATGATTCGGTGCCGCGTCCACTCTGTCAGGAGCTGCGGGGCCCCTCAGTACATAAGTTGAGGCTTCTGGAAGATGGGGGCCACATCCATGGTGAGAGGAGCCCCGGCCTCCTCAGAACCCGTGGTTTCCCTTCTGGAGAACATGGGGCCACGTCCACACAACAGGACGCTGACCTCCTCAGGACCCCGGTGTAGACTTTGGAATATATGGGGATGTGTCCATGCAGATAGAAGACCCCAGCGTTGTCTGGGCCCATGGTGAGGCCTAAGAAAGATGTGGGGACTGCATCCACACTGACAGGATTCTCCGGCCTCCTCAGGATGCACTGTGAAGGTTTGGGAAGATTTGGGGCCGCGTCCATGCTGACAGATGCCCCCAGCCTCCTCAGGTCTTATGGTGAGGCTTGAGGAAAATGTGGGGCCACGTCAACACTGACAGGACCCCCGTCCTCCTTAGGACCTGCACTTTGGCTTCGGGACATATGGGGCTGTGTCTATGTCTCCACATCTGGAGAGATGTGGCTCTGAGTAAAGGTGCACTAAGAAACATTGTCACAGTTTCAGTATTCCCTCCCCACGATTTGTGAGACCCAATTACTTCCAAACTCCTTTTTCCTCCTTTTTGTTTTGGATGGCAATGCTGCTCTGTGACTGACCTACACAATCAATGACTCAGTAAGTATCACAACAGTTCAACTCTGTGGAGAGAACCCAAGGGTCTTCTGGGGAAGTATGAAGGAGAACTCTGGACTTGCTTGTTTTACTTTCAGAAATCAGCATTAAGGCTCCTGATAGGAAGTTCCAAAGACTGCAGGTAGTACTCTGGGGACATAGAGCGAAACCCGGTGGGGACGGAGCCTGTCTCTGTGCCTGCCATATAGAAGGCCAAATAGACGTCTTTTTGGAATGAATGGGTGTTGAATAAATAGGAGAATCTGTGTATGCTGTGTCTGTTTCAGGTCACTGATTCATACTTAGGGAGAGACATTAATCTAGGGAATGGTTCTCTGAACAAGTCCTGGGAAAATGTATCCTAAGTAATTTTTTTAAAGATTTATTTATTTATTCATTCAGAGAAAGCAAGAGAGAGGCAGAGACACAGGCAGAGGGAGAAGCAGGCTCCATGCAGGAAGCCCGATGTGGGACATGATCCCGGTCTCCAGGATCACACCCCGGGCTGCAGGCAGTGCTAAACCACTGCACCACCAGGGCTACCCTTTTTATTTATTTTTTATTTTTTTATTTTTATTTTTATTTTTTTAAAAATTTGTATTTATTTATGATAGTCACAGAGAGAGGGAGAGAGGCAGAGACATATGCAGAGGGGGAAGCAGGCTACATGCACCGGGAGCCCGATGTGGGATTCGATCCCCGGTCTCCAGGATCGCGCCCTGGGCCAAAGGCAGGCGCCAAACCGCTGCGCCATCCAGGGATCCCAGGGCTACCCTTTAAAAAAAAAGATTTATTTAGTATCCTAAGTTATTTGAAAAGGAGTAATAAGATAGATAAGGAGTTCAGAATTGAGAAAATTATTAAAATCGTTTGAGGAAAGTAAAGGTGTTGATCACGGAAGTGGGTTTCTTGCAATTTACTCGCTTATAGCTTGTATATTCTGAACAGAAAAAAAGAAAGGGAGGAACCCCATGCGCTTGAGGTCATCAATTTCATCTGTAAAAAGGAAATAATACCGCCTGTCCCACAACACTGTTGTGAGGACTAGAAGTGATGGCTGTTGATGTAAAGAGTTGCTAGGTCCAATCACCATAATGTCGCGGCCGGCGCAAGAAGGTCCGGATTCAGGAACCGAGGGCAAGGGGATGAGAAAGAAACAAGAGACTAAAAGTTCATGGGATAGGAGGTTCCATGCAGCTGATGGCTGCAATGGACAAGCTTTATTTTTACACGTAGAGTTTATATAGCCTCTGTAAGCAGGCAGCTTATTTCTTTAAGGACATCTCGCGCCTCTGTAAGCAGGCAGCTTATTTCTTTAAGTACATCTCACGCACAAACATACATTGTTTTTAAGACTGACACCTGTTATTTGTTTAAGCAATAGAGCGTGAATGCCACATTTAGACTAAACAGTGAGGTTTGTTTATTAAGTAATGTCTGCCAAGGTGGTCATGGGTCAGGCCACCTCCTTGCTTACTTTATGGGAACTTGTCTCGATAACATTTTAAAGGAGAAGCAAATTTGTACTTTTACTTCCATAAGGGGGAAGAGCTAGGTGCAGTCCCAGCGGGTTGGCTAGGTATGACAGGAAGCCTTTGCTCAACCTGGAACCTTGCCTCGCACCGCAGGACCGCTCCCAACACCATAAAAATGTAAAAACAACACATTTTATTAATATAGCTACCAATATAGCTGCAATATACTATTTATTTATTTATTTATTTATTTATTTATTTATTTATTTGAGAGAGAGAGAGAGAGAGAGAGAGACAAAGACACAGACAGAGGGAGAAGCAGGCTCCATGTGGGGAGCCTGATGTGGGACTCGATCCTGCGTCTCCAGCATCACACACCGGGCTGAAGGCAGCGCTAAATCGCTGAGCCACCGGGGCTGCCCTGCAATATACTTTAAAAAATATATTTTAATTATTTATGAGAGAGAGAGAGAGAGAGAGAGAGAGAGAGAGGCAGGCTCCATGCAGGGAGCCCGATGTGGGACTCCATCCTGGGTCTCCAGGATCACGCCCTGGGAAGAAGACAGTGCTAAACGGCTGAGCCACCCAGGCTGCCCTTTTTCATGTCTTCTTAAAACACACAATTTGACTTATTTCTAGCAAAGTTTTTTTTAATATTTTTATTTATGATAGTCACAGAGAGAGAGAGAGGGAGGCAGAGACACAGGCAGAGGGAGAAGCAGGCTCCATGCACCGGGAGCCTGACGTGGGATTCAATCCCGGGTCTCCAGGATTGTGCCCTGGGCCAAAGGCAGGCGCTAAACCACTGTGCCACCCAGGGATCCCTCTAGCAAAGTTTTATGTGGGTTGGTGTACTTATCAATTAAAAGCTGTAGGATATGAATCCCAGGCTGCCCCTAAGGGGCATGTTCAGAGCCCTTCCAACTCCTCCAAGTGCAGCCTGGAAACCACCAAGCTGGTCTGAAGCCACATCCACAGCTGTGGGAACCAAGTGCCAGAGGCAGTCACGATTTACTGGATCAGAAACCCAGTTCTCTCCTGAAGCATCGGAGTCAGGGAATTGGTGTTTCTCAGGGCAGGGTGAAAAAACCTTACACGATCAGGATTTCTCTGATCCCAAGAAAAATGCTTAGCGTTTTTTTGTTGATTTCTTTTTTCTCATGTTGCTTGGCTGTTTCTCTTGCCACATTGCCCTACTTCCTTTGGGAATTAGTTCTGGAAAGAAATCACTCACATAATGAAAATGATCTAGAAACTCAGGTTAACAAAATTTTCTAGCCAGTGTGGATATGTGTGTTGCTTTAAGCTGACAGAAGTTTGTTTGCACAAATTAATAACAACTTTTAATAAATGGACTTTACTGTTCACTGCTAAAAAGTCCTGTCAGAGGGGCAAGATGGCTGAAGAGTAGGGTCTCCAAGTCAACTTTCCCCACCAAATTACCTAGTTAACTTTCAAATCATCCTGAAAACCTATGAATTCGGCCTGAGATTTATTTATTTTTTTATTTTTATTCATGATAGGCACACAGTGAGAGAGAGAGAGGCAGAGACACAGGCAGAGGGAGAAGCAGGCTCCATTCACCGGGAGCCTGACGTGGGATTCAATCCCGGGTCTCCAGGATCGCGCCCTGGGCCAAAGGCAGGTGCCAAACCGCTGCGCCACCCAGGGATCCCTCGGCCTGAGATTTAAAGAGAGAACAGCTAGAGTTCGCATTTCTATCAAGGCGGTTCCCACCTGGGCCTCACGTGGACCTGGTGACTGTGGTTCCCACCTGGGCCTCAGCCAGACCTGGTGACTCTAGTCCCCAACTGGGCCTCACCTGGGCCTAGTGGCTCTGGTCCCCATCTGGGCCTCATGTGGACCTGGCGACTGTGGTCTCCACCTTGACCTCACCTGGACCTGGTGACTCTGGTCCCCACCTGGGCCTCACCTGGACATGGTAGCTGTGGACTTCATCTGGACCTGGTGACTGTGGTTCCCACCTGGGCCTCACCGTACCTGGTGACTGGGCTCCTCAGCTACCAATGACTAGGATCCAGGATGGACCCTTAGTTGCTACTGATACTGGGACCATCCCCAGGGTCTCACTTGTTCCTGGTGACTATGGTCCTTGTCTGGGCTGACCTGGCTCATCCTTGGCTCTGATCCTCTCCTGGGCCTCCCCTGCTCTTGCAGGTATGGTCCCCCCTCTCGTGGGTGTGTAGTGTCTATGGTCCCTTCTTGGCCTCACCTGATGGTACTGGGCCACGATATTGGCCCTTTGCAAGGCCAGCAGGGTCTCCGAGTCCTCCTGCATGGTGCTGGAATCCAAACACATCCAAGAATGACGGCGCATGAGAACCTTCCGAGGACACATGTGTCAGGGTGCTCCCCGAGGGCAGGTCCCCCGCTGTCTGACGGGAACCGGAGACAACCCCATAGCCCTGAGGGGCACAGGCTGGGCTGGAACATCACACATGGGCCCTCACTGCCTGTCTGTCACTTGCCCACCTACAGTCCACCTTCCCAGCCACTGTCGTAGGACACGCCTTCATGCTAAGATCATAGAGCGCTCCCACCTCGGTAAAGGAGCACAGGGACAGGGGACCAGGAGGCTCCGGGGAACTGCCGATCTGATGCTCGGGGTGATTTGAATCAATTCGATTCTTTTTGATTTGATTTGATTCGATTCTAATCGATTATTTTCAATTCGATTCCATTTGATTATTTTCGATTCGATTCGATTCGATTATGTTCGATTCAATTCCATTATTTTCGTGTCTATTCGATTCGATTCAATTATTCTCGATTTGATTGGATTATTTTCAATTCGATTCGAGTATTTTGGATTCCTTTCGTGTATTTTCGATTCGATTCAAATATTTTAGATTTGATTTGATTATTTTCGATTCGATTGAAGAATTTTTGGTTCGATTCGAGTATTTTCGATTCCTTTCATGTATTTTCGATTCGATTCGAATATTTTAGATATGATTCGATTATTTTCGATTCGATTCGATTATTTTCAATTTGATTCGAGCATTTTTGATTCCATTCGATTATTTTTGATTTGATATAATAATTTTCAATTCCTTTGGGTTCGTTTCTATTATTTTTGAAGTGTGAATGTGAGTGCGAGTGTGAGTGTGAGTGCGAGTGTGAGTGCGAGTGTGAGTGTGAGTGCGAGTGCGAGTGTGAGTGCGTGTTCGACTGTGAGTGCGAGTTCGAGTGCGAGTGTGAGTAGGAGTGCGAGTGTGAGTGTGAGTTCAAGTGCAAGCGTGAGTGCGATTGCGAGTGAGTGCGAGTGTGATTGTGAGTGCGAGTGTGAGTGCGCGTGCGAGTGTGAGTGCGAGTGTGAGTGTGAGTGCGTGTGTGAGTTCGAGTGCGAGAGTGAGTGGGAGTGAGAGTGTGATTGCGAGTGTGAGTATGAGTGCGAGTGTGAGGGGGTGATTGCGAATTTGAGTGCGAGTGCGTGAGTGCGAGTGTGAGTGCGAGTACGAGTTAGTGCGAGCGTGAGTGCGAGTGTGAGTGCGCGTGTGAGTGTGAGTGCGAGTGTGAGTTCGAGTGCGAGTGTGAGTGGGAGTGAGAGTGTGATTGCGAGTGTGAGTATGAGTGCGAGTGTGAGTGTGATTGCGAATTTGAGTGCGAGTGCGAGTGCGTGAGAGCGAGTGTGAGTTCAAGTGCGAGTGAGTGCGAGTGTGAGTGCGAGTGTGAGTGCGACTGTGAGTGAGTGTGAGTTTGAGTGCGAGTAGGAGTGAGTGCGAGTGTGACTGCGAGTGTGAGTGCGCGTGTGAGTGTGAGTGTGAGTGCGAGTGTGAGTCCGAGTGCGAGTGTGAGTGGGAGTGAGAGTGTGATTGCGAGTGTGAGTGCCAGTGCGAGTGTGAGTGTGAGTGGGAGTGTGTGAGTGCGAATTTGAGTGCGAGTGCGAGTGCCTGAGTGCGAGTGTGAGTGCAAGTGCGAGTGAGTGCGAGTGTGAGTGCGAGTGCGAGTGAGTGCGAGTTCGAGTTTGAGTCCGAAGGCGTGTGTGAGTGCGAGTGTGAGTGGGAGTGTGAGTGCGAGTGCGAGTTTGATTGCGAATGCGAGTGTGTGAGTGTGAGTGTGAGTGCGAGTGCGAGTGAGTACGAGTGTGAGTGCGAGTGTGGTTGCGAGTGTGAGTGCGAGTGTGAGTACCAGTGTGAGTGCGAGAGTGAGTGTGAGTGCGAGAGTGAGTGTGAGTGCGAGTGTGAGTGTGAGGGTGAGTGCGAGTGCGAGTGTGAGCGCGAGTTTGAGTGTGAGTGTGAGTGCGATTTTGAGTGTGAGTGCGAGTGTGAGAGTGAGTGCGAGAGTGAGTGTGAGTGTGTGAGTTCGAGTGTGAGTGCGAGTGCGAGTGCGAGTGTCAGTGTGAGTGCGAGTGTGAGTGTGTGAGAGCGAGAGTGAGTGTGAGTGTGTGAGTGCGAATGCGAGTGTGAGAGTGAATGCGAGTGTGAGTGTGTGAGTGCGAGTATGAGTGTGAGTGCGAGTGCGAATGCGAGTGTCATTGCGAGAGTGAGTGTGAGTGCGAGTGTGAGTGTGAGTTTGTGTGTGAGTGCGACTTTGAGTGTGAGTGCGAGTGTGAGTGTGTGAGTTCGAGTGTGAGTGTGATTTTGAGTGCGAGTGTGAGTGTGAGTTCGAGTGTGACTGTGAGTTTCAGTGAGAGTGTGAGTGTGAGTGCGAGTATGAGTGTGAGTGCGAGTGCGAGGGTGAGTGTGAGTGTGTGAGTGCGAGTGCGAGGGTGAGTGTGAGTGTGTGAGTGCGAGTGCGAGTGTGAGTGTGAGTGCGAGTGTGAGTGTGAGAGTGTGTGCGAGTGTGAATGTAAGTGTGAGTGCGACTGTGAGTGCAAGTGTGAGTGTGAGGGTGAGTGCGAGAGTGAGTGCGAGTGCGTGTGCGAGCGTGAGTGTGAGTGCGAGTGTGAGGGCAAGTGTGAGTGTGCGAGAGTGAGTGTGAGTGTGAGTGTGTGTGCGAGTGTGAGTGCGAGTGTGAGTGTGAATGTGTGAGTTTGAGTGCGATATGAGTGTGAGTGCGAGTTTGTGTGAATGCGATTGCGAGTGTAAGTGCGAGTGCGAGTGTGAGTGTGAGTGCGAGTGTGAGAGTGACTGCGAGTGCGAGGGTGAGTGTGAGTTTGTGAGAGCGAGTGTGAGTGTGAGTGGGAGTGTGAGTGTGAGTGCGAGTGTGAGAGTGAGTGCGAGTGTGAATGTTAGTGTGAGTGCGAGTGTGAGTGTGCGTGTGAGTGCGAGTGTGAGTGTGTGAGTGCGAGTTTAAGTGTGAGTGCGAATGTGAGTGTGAGTGCGAGTGTGAGTGTGTGAATGCGAGCGTGTGAGTGTTAGTGCAAGTGTGAGTGTGTGAGTGCGAGTGTGTGAGGGCGAGTGCGAGTGTGAGTGCGAGTGTGAGTGTGTGAGTGCGAGTGTGAGTGTGAGTGCGAGTGCGAGTGCGAGAGTGAGTGTGAGTGCAGGTGTGAGTGTGAGATTGAGTGTGAGTGCGAGTGTGAGTGTGAGTGCGAGTGCGAGTGTGAGTGTGTGAGTGCGAGTTTAAGTGTGAGTGCGAGTTAAAGTGTGAGTGCGAGTGCGAGTGTGAGTGCGAGTGTGACTGTGAGTGTGAGTGCCACTCTGAGTGTGAGTGCGAGAGGGAGTGTGAGTGTGAGTGCGAGTGGAGTGTGAGTGCGAGTGTGAGTGCGAGTGTGAGTGTGTGAGTGCGAGTGCGAGTGTGAGTGTGTGAGTGCGAGTGTGAGTACGAGTGTGAGTGCGAGAGTGAGTGTGAGTGCGAGTGTGAGTTTGAGTGTGAGTGCGAGTTTGAGTGTGAGTGCGAGTATGAGTGTGTAAGTGCGAGTATGAGTGTGAGTGCGAGTGTGAGTGTGAGTGTGAGTGTGTTTGAGTGCGAGTGTGAGTGTGAGAGCGAGTGTGAGAGTGAGTGCGAGTGTGAGGGTGAGTGTGAGTGTGAGTGTGTGAAATTGAGTGTGAGTGTTAGTGTGAGTGCGAGAGTGAGTGCGAGTGTGAGTGCGAGTGCGAGTGCCTGTGCGAGTGTGAGGGTGAGTGCGAGTGCGAGCGTGAGTGCGAGTGCGAGTGTGAATGCGAGTGCGAGTGTGAGTGCGAGTTCGAGTGTGAGGGCAAGTGGAGTTTGAGTGCGATTGCGAGTGCGAGAGTGATTATGAGTGCTAGTGCGAGTGTGAGTGCGAGTGCAAGTGTGAGTGCGAGTGGAAGTTTGAGTGCGAGTGAGAGTGCGAGTGTGAGTGTGAGTGCGAGTGCAATTTTTTTATTTTTTTATTTTTTTTGGTTTTTTGTTTGTTTTGCTTTTTTTTCTTTTTGTTTTTTTTTTGTTTTTTTGTGAGTGAGATTTTGAGTGCGAGTGCGAGTTCGAGTGTGAGTGTGAGTGTGAGTTCGAGTGTGAGTGCGAGTGTGAGTGTGAGTGTGACTGTGAGTGCGAGTACGAGCAAGAGTGCAAGTTTGAGTGTGAGTGCGAGTGCGCAGGTTCGAGTGTGAGTGCGAGTGTGAGTGTGAGTGCGAGTGTGAGTGCGAGTGTGAGTGCGAGGGTGAGTGTGACTGTGAGTGCGAGTGTGAGTGCGGGTGCGAGCAAGTGTGCAAATTTGAGTTGGAGTGCGAGTGCGCGAGTTCGAGTGTGAGTGCGAGCGTGAGTGTGAGTACGAGTGTGAGTGCGAGTGCGAGTGTGAGTGCGAGTGTGAGTGTGAGTGCGAGTGTGAGTGCGAGTGTGAGTGCGAGTGGGAATGTGAGTGCGAGTGTGAGTGCGAGTGTGAGTGCGAGTGTGAGTCTGAGTGTGAGTGCGATTGCGAATATGAGTGCGAGTGCGAGTGTGAGTGTGAGTGCAAGTGCTAGTGTGAGTGCGAGTGCGAGTTCGAGTGTGAGTGTGAGTGCGAGTGCCTGTGTGAGTGTGAGGGTGAGTGCGAGTGCGAGCGTGTTTTGTTTTTTTTTTGGTATTTTTTTTTTTTTTTTTTTTTTGCGAGTGCGATTTTGAGTGCGAGTGCGAGTGCGAGTGTGAGTGTGAGTGCGAGTGCCTGTGTGAGTGTGAGGGTGAGTGCGAGTGTGAGCGTGTTTTGTTTTTTTTTTGGTATTTTTGGTTTTTTTTGTTTTTTTTTTGTTTTTTTGCGAGTGCGATTTTGAGTGCGAGTGCGAGTTCGAGTGCGAGTGTGAGTGCGAGTGTGAGTGTGAGTGCGAGTGTATGTGTGAGTGTGAGGGTGAGTGCGAGTGCGAGCGTGAGTGCGAGTGCGAGTGTAGGTGTGAGGTAGAGTGCAAATTTTTTTATTTTTTTATTTTTTTATTTTATTTTATTTTTGTTTTTTTTTGTTTTTTTGCGAGTGCGATTTGAGTGCGAGTGCGAGTTCGAGTGCGAGTGTGAGTGTGATTGCGAGTGCGAGTGTGAGTGTGAGTGCGAGTGTGAGTGCGAGTGCAATTTTTTTTATTTTTTTTTGTTTTTTTGTTTTTTTTTTGTATTTTTGTTTTTTTTTGGTTTTTTGCGAGTGCGATTTTGAGTGCGAGTGCGAGTTCGAGTGCGAGTGTGATTGCGAGTGCGAGTGTGAGTGTGAGTGCAATTTTTTAATTTTTTTATTTTTTATTTTTTTTTTGTTTTTTTTGTGTTTTTTTTTGTTTTTTTTTTTGCGAGTTCGAATTTGAGTGCGAGTGCGAGATCGAGTGCGAGTATGAGTGCGAGTGCGAGTGTGAGTGTGAGTGCGAGTGCCTGTGCGAGTGTGAGTGTGAGTGTGGGTGCAATTTTTTTATTTTTTTATTTTTTTTGTTTTTTTTTGTTTTTTGCTTTTTTTGTGTTTTTTTCTGTTTTTTTTGTTTTTTTGCGAGTTCAAATTTGAGTGCGAGTGCGAGATCGAGTGCGAGTATGAGTGCGAGTGCGAGTGTGAGTGTGAGTGCGAGTGTCTGTGCGAGTGTGAGGTTGAGTTCGAGTTCGAGCGTGAGTGCGAGTGCGAGTGTGAATGCGAGTGCGAGTGTGACTGCGATTTCGAGTGTGAGGGCAAGTGGGAGTTTGAGTGCGAATGCGAGTGCGAGAGTGAGTATGAGTGCTAGTGTTAGTGTGAGTGCGAGTGCAAGTGTGAGTACTAGTGGAAGTTTGAGTGCGAGTGAGAGTGCGAGCATGAGTGTGAGTGCGAGTGTTTGTGCGAGTGCAATTTTTTTATGTTTTTATTTTTTTGTTTTTTTCGCTATTTTTTGCTTTTTGTTTTTTTGTTTTTTTTTGTTTTTTTGTGAGTGAGATTTTGAGTGTGAGTGCGAGTTCGAGTGTGAGTTCGAGTGTGAGTGTGAGTGCGAGTGCAATTTTTTTATTTTTTTATTTTTTTGTTTTTTTGTTTTTTTTTTTTTTTTTTTTTTTGTTTTTTTTTTTTTGTTTTTTTGAGAGTGCGAATTTGAGTGCGAGTGCGAGATCGAGTGCGAGTGCGAGTGTGAGTGTGAGTGCGAGTGCCTGTACGAGTGTGAGGGTGAGTGCGAGTGCGAGCGTGAGTGCGAGTGCGAGTGTGAATGCGAGTGCGAGTGTGAGTGCGAGTCGAGTGTGAGGGCAAGTGGGAGTTTGAGTGCGATTGCGAGTGCGAGAGTGATTATGAGTGCTAGTGCGAGTGTGAGTGCGAGTGCAAGTGTGAGTGCGAGTGGAAGTTTGAGTGCGAGTGAGAGTGCGAGTGTGAGTGTGAGTGCGAGTGTGAGTGCAAGTGTGAGTTCGAGTGCAATTTTTTTTATTTTTTTTTTTTTTTGCTTTTTTTTGTTTTTTTTTTGCTTTTTTTTGTTTTTTTGCGAGTGCGATTTTGAGTGCGAGTGCGAGTTCGAGTGCGAGCGTGTGTGTGAGTGCGAGTGTGAGTGTGAGTTCGAGTGCCTGTGCGAGTGTGAGGGTGAGTGCGAGTGCGAGCGTGAATGCGGGTGCGAGTGGTGAGGGCAAGTGGGAGTTTGAGTGCGATTGCGAGTGCGAGAGTGAGTATGAATGCTAGTGCGAGTGTGAGTGCGAGTGCGAGTGTGAGTGCGAGTGTGAGCAAGAGTGCAAGTTTGAGTTTGAGTGCGAGTTCGTGAGTTCGAGTGGAGTGCGAGTGTGTGAGTGCGAGTGTGAGCGTGAGTGCGAGTGTGTGTGTGAGTGCAGGTGTGAGTGTGAGTGCGAGTGTGAGTGCGAGTGTGAGTGCGAGTGCAATTTTTTTATTTTTTATTTTTTTTGTTTTTTTTGTTTTTTTTTTGTTTTTTGTTTTTTCTTTTTTTTTGTTTTTTGCGAGTGCGATTTTGAGTGCGAGTGCGAGTTCGAGTGCGAGTGTGAGTGCGAGTGCGAGTGTAGTGTGAGTGCGAGTGCCTGTGCGAGGGTGTGGGTGAGTGCTAGTGCGAGCGTGATTGAGAGTGCGAGTGTGAATGCGAGTTCGAGTGTGAGTGCGAGTTCAAATGCGAGTGTGAGTGTGAGGGGAAGTGGGAGTTTGAGTGCGATTGCAAGTGCGAGAATGAGTGTTAGTGCTAGTGCGAGTGTGAGTGCGAGTGCAAGTGTGAGTGCGAGTGGAATTTGAGTGCCAGTGAGAGTGCGAGTGTCAGTGCGAGTGTCAGTGCGAGTGCGAGTGTGAGTGTCAGTGTGAGTGTGAGTGCGAGTGTGAGTGCGAGTGCGAGCAAGAGTGAGTTTGAGTGCGAGCGCGAGTGTGTGAGTGCGAATGTGAGTGCGAGTGCGAGTGAGTGCGAGTGTGAGTGCGAGCGCGAGTGCGTGAGTGCGAATGTGAGTGCGAGTGTGAGTGCGAGTGCGAGTGTGAGTGCGAGTGCGAGTGTGAGTGCGAGTGTGAGTTGGAGTGTGAGTGCGAGTGAGAGTGTGAGTGTGAGTGCGAGTGTGAGTGCGAGTGCAATTTTTTTATTTTTTTTTTGTTTTTTTTGTTTTTTTTGTTGTTTGTTTTTTTTTTGTTTTTTTTTGTTTTTTGCGAGTGCGATTTTGAGTGCGAGTGTGATTGCGAGTGCGAGTGGAGTGCGAGTGTGAGTGTGAGTGCGAGTGTGAGTGCAATTGCAAGCAAGAGTGCAAGTTTGAGTGTGAGTTTGAGTGCGTGAGTTCGAGTGTGAGTGGGAGTGTGAGAGTGCGAGTGTGAGTGCGAGTGTGATTGCGAGTGTGAGTTCGAGTGTGAGTGTGAGTGAGAGTGTTAGTGTGATTGCGAGTGTGAGTGCGAGTGTTAGTGCGAGTGCAATTTTTAATTTTTTTTTTTTTTTTTTTTTTTTTTTTGTTTTTTTGTTTTTTTGTTTTTTTGCGAGTGCGATTTTGAGTGCGAGTGCGAGTTCGAGTGCGAGTGTGAGTGCGAGTGCGAGTGTGATGCGAGTGCGAGTGTGAGTGCGAGTTCGAGTGTGATGGCAAGTGCGAGTTTGAGTGCAATTGCGAGTGCGAGAGTGAGTATGAATGCTAGTGCGAGTGTGAGTGCTAGTGCGAGTATGAGTGCGAGCAAGAGTGCAAGTTTGAGTTTGATTGCGTAGTGCGTGAGTGTGAGTGCGAGTGCGAGTGTGAGTGCGAGTGCGAGTGTGAGTGTGAGTGTGAGTGTGAGTGTGAGTGCGAATGCGAGTGAGTGCGAGTGTGAGTGCGAGTGTGAGTGCGAGTGTGCGTGCGAGTGCGAGTGAGTGCGAGTGCGAGTGCGAGTGTGAGTGCGAGTGTGAGTGTGAGTGCGAGTGTGAGTGCGAGTGCGAGTGGGAGTGCAGGTGTGAGTGTGAGTGCGAGTGTGAGTGCAAGTGCGAGCAAGAGTGCAAGTTTGAGTGTGAGTTTGAGTGCGTGAGTTTGAGTGTGAGTGCGAGTGTGAGTGTGAGTGCGAGTGTTTGTGCGAGTGCGAGTGTGAGTGCGAGTGTGAGTTCGAGTGTGAGTGTGAGTGACAGTGTGATTGTGAGTGCGAGTGTGAGTGCGAGTGTGAGTGCGAGTGCAATTTTTTTTGTTTTTTTTTGTATTTTGGTTTTATTTGTTTTTTTTTGTTTTTTTTGCGAGTGCGATTTTGAGTGCCAGTGCGAGTTCGAGTGCGAGTGTGAGTGCGAGTGCGAGTGTGAGTGTGAGTGCGAGTGCCTGTGCGAGTGTGAGGGTGATTGCGAGTTCGAGCGTGAGTGCGAGTGCGAGTGTGAATGCGAGTGCGAGTGTGAGTGCGAGTTCGATTGTGAGGGCAAGTGGGAGTTTGAGTGCGATTGCCAGTGCGAGAGTGAGTGCGAGTTCGAGTGCGAATGTGAGTGTGAGTTCGAATGTGAGTGCGAGTCTGAGTGTCAATGCATGTGAGTGCGAGTGCGAGTGTGAGTGCGAGTGTGAGTGTGAGTGCGAGTGCGTGAGTTCGAGTTTGAGTGCGAGTGTGAGTGTGAGTGCGAGTGTGAGTGTGAATGCGAGTGTGAGTGCGAGTGCGAGCAAGAGTACAAGTTTGAGTGTGAGTGCGAGTGCGTGAGTTCGAGTGTGAGTGTGAGTGCGAGTGCGAGTGCGAGTGCGATTGCGAGTTTGAGTGCGAGGGTGAGTGTGAGTGCGAGAGTGAGTGGGAGTGTGAGTGCGAGTGTGAGTGCGAGTGTGAGTGCGAGTGCGAGCAAGAGTACAAGTTTGAGTGTGAGTGCGAGTGCGTGAGTTCGAGTGTGAGTGCGAGTGTGAGTGCGAGTGCGAGTGTGAGTGCGAGTGCGAGTGCGATTGCGAGTGTGAGTGCGAGGGTGAGTGTGAGTGCGAGAGTGAGTGGGAGTGTGAGTGCGAGTGTGAGTGCGAATGTGAGTGCGAGTGTGAGTGCGAGTGTGAGTGCGAGTGCAATTTTTTTTTTTGTTTTGTTTTTGTTTTTTTTTGCGAGTGCGATTTTGAGTGCGAGGGCGAGTTGGAGTGCGAGTGTGAGTGCGAGTGTGAGTTCGAGTGCACGCAAGAGTGCAAGTTTGAGTTTGTGTGCGAGTGCGTGATTTCGAGTGTGAGTGCGAGTGTGAGCGTGATTGCGAGTGTGTGTGTGAGTGCAGGTGTGAGTGTGAGTGCGAGTGTGAGTGCGAGTGTGAGTTCGAGTGCAATTTTTTTTATTAATTTATTTTTTTTGTTTTTTTGTTTTTTGTTTTTTTTGTTTTTTTTTTGTTTTCTTGCGAGT